AAATTAGATTTTATATTATAGGCATAGATATTCAAAGAAAGTAATGTTTAAATTTGCGTTTTTGGAGGGAGTTTATATAGAATGATGATTGTATTTAAATTTGTTTAGGTTTTAAAAGTGTTTTAAGTTTTTTTTTCTTAATTAAGCCTGTACTTAGCTCTGGGAAGTCCAGGGGAGGGTTTGGGAGGTCGGGAAAGAGGGGGGTGAGGTAGGGTTGGGGGGGGTATGGGAAGGGGACTTGTTTTTGTAAAAATTTAAAAATTCTCAATTAAAAAAAAATATATATATAAAAAAATAAAAATAAATAAAAAACCAGTTTGGTCCATATGTATCAATTGATTTAACACAGTCATAAGTCTATTAGCTAAGATTTTCGAAAAAATCTTATAATCTACATTCAAAAGAGATATAGGTCTATAATTTTTTGGTAAAGTAAGATCTTGATCCTCTTTTGGAATCAAGGATATAAAAGCTCTACCCCAAGACAGGGGAGTCTCTAATCCCTGTAATATATTATTAAAAAGTTCCCTTAAAGGTTCTATCATCTCATCTATCAGAGTCTTATAATAAATTGATGTCAATCCATCAGTACCCGGTGCTTTACCTGCTTTTAATTGTTTAATTACTGTAACAATTTCCTCTATAGTAACCAATCCATTAATTCTTGTTTCTGATCTTCTGTTAACTTAGGAAAATGAGCATCTTGTAAATATTTATCTATATCTAAAGCCTGTACTTTCCTACCCATATATAATTTTGTATAATAATCTAAAAAAGATTTCTTAATCAATTCCTTCTGATATACCAATTTACCATTATGATTTATTTTATCTATAATTCTCAACTTCTGTTTCTTTCGCAATTGATAAGCCAGCCATCTCCCTGGCTTATTAGCGTTACAAAATGTATTATGTTTCATATAAAGTAAATTGGTTGCAGTCTGATCTGCCATTAACATATTAAATTGCAATTTAAGCAATTTTATGGATTCCTTAACCTTCTCATCTGTAGGATTCGAAATTAAGACTTTTTCTTTTAATTTAATCTCATCTTCCAACTCCTTACGTTTTTGCACCTGTTTCTGTCTATAAGCCTTATTCATTTGTATCAAAACCCCACGCATATAAGCTTTACTTGCATCCCATACCATTGCCATTGAAGTTTCCTTATGCATATTTAAAACAAAATATTCCTTTAAATACCCTTTAAGTTTCTGAACATTCATTACTTGTCTAAATAAATTTTCATTCAACCTCCAAATCTCCTCTCCTCTTTTTCAGTAGCCAGTTCCATCCACACTGGGCTGTGATCTGTCAATGTCCTTGGAAATATCTTTGCATTCTTTACCCTAAAATATAAGTCCGTTGTAATAGGGGAAAAAGTCAATTCTTGAAAAAGATTGATGTCTATCCGAAAAAAAGGTGAAGTCTCTCTCTTCCATATTATGTTCTCGCCAATAATCTCGCAACTCCCAGTCCTCTTTCAAATCAAAAAAGGCCTTAGGTAATTTGGCCTGTTTAAAAGAAGTAGAAAATCCTTTTTTTATCTCTATATGTATCTAAAACTCCATTCCAATCTCCCATTAATATGACAGATCTATAATCCAATAAAGTCAATTTTTGATGTAACAACCTATAAAATTGTTCCTGTTGTTGATTTGGTGCATACAAACCTACTATAAGTATTTTCTTGCCATACAATCCCACTTCAATCATTACATATCTCCCTTGAGGATCAGAATCTACTAAACAAACTGATAGATTTTGCTTAACATAAATAACTACACCCCCTTTTTTCCCAGGAGCAAAGGATACAAAATGAGATCCCAATCGAGCATTAGCTAAATATTTTTGATCTTTAGAAATAATATGCATTTCCTGCAAACAAATAATGTCATTATTATGTTGTTTCAAATAGTGAAATATTTTCTTTCTCTTCTGAGGGGAATTAAGGCCATTAACATTCCATGTCAGGAGCTTTACCATCTCCCTCATCCAATAGCCTGGAGAAGACTGCTTGAAGATCTGCCATTGAGGATTGCACCGAAGATCTCTTAGGTCTTGCTCCTCCCACAGGCTCAGAAACAAATTCTTGTGAGACTTCTTTAACCTCTTTCTTCTGTTGTTCCTTTTCCTTTCGTCTATGCACAGCTTGAGTCATTCTCTGCTCTTTCATCTCAGCTTGTTGAAACCACTCAGCCTGTGGCTCTCCAGCTTTCATCAATACAGCTTCTTCAGACTGCTGTTCTACCTCCTTCCCATCCAAAGCTTTAAACATTATAGGTGGTGATGAGCGTGCTCCCAGGACCGAAGTATAAAACTCCTTTGCTTTTGAAACAGTATTAAGTCTATAACGTGTCCCCGCTTGGCTCACCACTATTCCAATCGGAATATCCCATCTGAATGGCATCTGCCTCTTTTTAAGTTCATCTGCTAAAAAAGCAAACTCTTTTCTTCTTCTTAAAATTTTAGATGGGATCTCCTTTAAAATTATGACATCTTGTGCAGCAATCTGAAACCTCTTATTATAAAAAGCTTGTATGATTTCATTACGCAAAGATCTTTTCCCAAAGTAAATTACCACATCTCTTGGCAGATTTCTTTGCTTTGCAATCCAAGAGTTGACTCTGAATATTTTTTCAATTTCTCTGGATATTTCCTCTTTTTCTCTGCCCAAAATCACAGCAAAGTCATTTACTACCATCTCTCTCAAGTCTTGTTGCATATTCTCTCTTAGACCCTTAATTCTTAAAGTGAATTCCATCTCTCTATATTGAGACATGACAATTTCATCTTGTGAAATTTCCACCTTTTTTTCCATTCCTTCAAATTTTTCCTCCAACACCTCCACTTTGTCTTCAACTTCTTCAACACGAGAATCCAATTTTTCAACGACAGAAGCAAGACCTTTTAAAGCCAAAACTATATCTTGCCTCAAAATACTGTTATTCTCCACTAAAAGCTCTTTCACTTCACCTCTAATTTGAGATATAACATTTCCCATTATATCTTGCAAGTCTTTTACCGTTATTGGTTGCAAAGGAGGAGAAGATGGTGGTGTGGCTTTAGGTTGTTGTGCTGGTAATATCGCAGGAGAAGAAGCCACCTTAGGTACTGTAGAAGTTGCTTGGCGCTTTGAAGCCATCTTTTCTTTTAAAAAAATTATTTCTTCTTTCCTCCTTCTTAAAAAATACAAAAAAGAAATCCCTTAGAAAAGTAAAAAAAAAAAAGTTAAACAGAGAGGGAAAATAATCCTCCTAAAACCCAAATCCTCCTTCAAAAAAATCATTATAAAAAAAAGTAATTAAGTAACCAATCCGTTCCATTCCGATCCCTTAAAAAAAAAGAAAACTGCCAATCGCCATTTTACTTTCCCTCTCCGCAAAAGAGAGAAAAAAAGTAAAATCCTCTCTTCAGCTCTGTCCGCTTTTAAAATAACTCACCAGTTCTCTTTAGTTGCAGAGGTGGGAGTGGCGTCTTGCTTTATCCCCAACAGCGAGAGACAAAGACAGCTGAGAAGCGGAGACACCCTGAACTCCATGGGAGTACTCTTTTCACCCCCAAAAAAGATTCTTTTGGGGATTTCAGAGGCTCTACCACTATGCAGGGTGATACTCCCCTCCTTCCCTTTACCCAGGAAGGAGGTTTTAAACCGCAGAACAACTGATGCCTGCTATTCTCAGCGGTTCTAACACTTTCTCAGGATGACAGCTACAAAGTAGCCTCCATCACCAGTGTAGCGCCACTGGAAGCCCTAGGCCTATTTTTATTGTCATTGTCCTTACTATATATTATTTTAATTGGCATTTTCTCATTATTAAACCATCAGACACTTATTATCTCACCAATAGCAAAATAATTATTTCTTACAGGAATCTTAGTTGAGCCCACACTTGCTGAGCAAAAGGACTTTATAAAATTAAATTCCCCCTGCTAATGAGGATATGATTAAATATAGTTTAAAAAAAACAGATTAATATGCAGCAACCAGAATTGACAAACAAGATCCTGAAGTTTAAATTTTGCTTCTTAGGATCAACAATCAACAATAAAGGAAGCAGCACCCACAAAATATGCAGCAAACATATGGTGAGGTAGCCATGACGGTTTCAGAGAAGATATCCAGTGGTCCGCATGGGACACTATGCATGAAGATAAAGATTCATTGATGGACCACACAACCTGCTGAAACAGAGCCATGGAAATTCTGACAGTCACGCTCAATAACCACAATTTTTCTTTTCTTTATGTATCAGTTCAATATTTCCTATTGTGGTTTGTGGTGCTCTAACTTAGAATATTTACATTGGCCTGTGTTCAGTTAAAAAAATAATTAAACTATTAGCCATTTATTCTTTCATGAAAAATATTTTTTTTCTTTTAATAACCCTGTTATCCCTTTCTTTGGGGTGGAATCAGGGTGACTGAATGGACCTGAGCATTTACTGCCCTGATGCCCTTCCTGATGCCTACATGGAGTTCACAGCAGATATTTTATGCCCAAAGAGAAAAACATCTGTCACTACCTAGGATCAAATTCACAGACTCCTAACTGAGTGGCAAAAACTCACCCTTTAGACCACCATGCTGCTCCATGAAAAATAAAACAATTATCTAGCGGAATCATCATGTTTTTTTTTTAGCTAGGCTCAAATATTAAAGACTTTGCATGAAGGCATTTCAATTCAACAACAATCAAGGTATCTCTTTAGTTGTTAATTAACTTTTGAACCACAGGGAGATTGGCACAAGGGATAATAATGATCCTGGCTGATTCATTGTGTCACGTTCCCTCCTGCCTTTCTTCCTTGCCAGAATATATATTCCGAATCTGGTGATATTCAAGATACAAATTGGCACACACACGGCTCTTCAAACAGAAATTGATGGATTGTCCCATGAAGGGCATTTTCAGATAAAATCTTTGGATTAAACAGTGGATGAACCATTGGGGTGCATACATACTCTGGAAGACAAAAACATTTTCACCATCCCAAAAGCATGAAGATGTTATTCCTTTTGATGTTCCTGATGCACAAGGTAGTTACTCTGAGATGCCCTTCAAGTGAAGCTTTCCCTGTTCCACATGAGTGGTTCCAGCCTGGTGATCTTGTCATTGGTGGGATGGTGTCTCACATTTTTTACCACTTTTATGAAATTGAATTTAAGGAACACCCTTCTCTAAAACCTTATGACTTACCTCTGTAAGAAGTTTTATTTTTCCCATGTATTTTCTTAGCTTAGCCAGGTCCCCCAAAATTTCTGATATATGCTTTCTTTACATTCTATTAAAGACCTTCTCGTGAAATGCATGAAAGTTTGGTGCAAGAAGTCTATTGAAGGACATTTTACACCAAACTTTCATGAGAAAGCTGTAAAAGCTTTTGAAAATAAATGCAGGGTTTACACACACACATACACACACACAAACACACACATACAAGCCTTTATCTTTCACATGTATTGTCTTATGGCAGAAGAAAGCATTTTCTTTACATTATATTAATGTCCTTCTCATGAAATGCATGAAAGTTAGGTACAAGAAGTCTATTGAAGGACTTCTTACACCAAAATAGCATGAATTTCATGAGAAAGACTTTAATATAATGATTAATTTATTGTATAATTTAAATTTAATGAGCTTGAGGTAATTGAAAAAATGTTCTGCATGATCAGCCCTCACAAAACGTACATAGAGTAAATGAGTGATACTTGCTGAAGCTGTTCCTATTATACTTTGTGCCCAAATTGTTAGAATTATATTTGTTAACTGAAAAAAGTCACTACTTTTATTTGCTGTAGTACCGTATATCATTGTTGCAAATCATGAAAACAATAGGTAAAATGCAGAACTGAACTCTGAGGAAATTATTGAATATTTTAGAAAAGCTATTCTATTCCCACTTCCAAGAGAGATGGTTTGTTATCCATATAGAGAGGATGCTTCCCTTACAAGAATTGTGAAATTCTTTTTTCAATGGGGTATTTAATTTATTTGCAGTGTAATAACCAAATTCTACCAGCACGTCCTTGCCTTGGCCTTTGCTGTGAAGGAGATCAATGAGGACTCCAAGATCTTACCTAACATCACTCTTGGGTTCCACATCTATGATAGTTACTACAACCCAAGCATGACCTATCGCTCCACTCTGGACCTCCTTTTCAAATCCCAGGAATTTGCCCCTAACTACAAATGTTATACCCAGAAGAATCTCATGGCCATCATTGGAGGATTAGATGTTCCTACTTCATCCTACATGGCACAAGTTATAAGTATCTTCAAGATTCCACAGGTAATTTTTGTAGAAGGTTGAAAGAGAAACTTTTCTTTCTTTTTTAATGAATATCAGAGATTATATTTTGGCCAAGCCTTTCTGTAGGACTTCAATTAAATCCACTTTTTCTTCCTTCGGCAATTTTTCTCACAACCAAATAGGTTGGCTCAAAGTCATCAATCAAGAAAATTAAAATCTTTTATTTGAAAGATTAGAAAAGTAAAATTTAAACCACAAATTAACAGTACAAAATTAATCTTATTTGAGATGATTATCTGTTCTTCCGGTATGACCACTACATGTGGTTGAATTCTGGGGCTGTGTTGAGAGAAGGAGTGAAAAGGCTGGCTAGCATATGCTACACAATTAGTACATAAATTCTCTGAGCAGGAGACCATATACAATTTCAGATAAATGCTTTTCCAGTCTCTTTTTGAAAGCCTCCAGTAATGCAGCACCCACAACTTCTGGAGGCAATCTGTTCCACTGGTTGATGCTTCTCACCATTAGGAAATTTCTCCTTATTTTTAGGTTGTTTGTCTCCTTGATTGGTTTCCATCCATTGTTTCTCCTCTTGCTTTTGGAAGCTTTGGAAAATAATTTACCCCTCATCTTTGTAGCAACCCATAAATATTGGAACACTGCTATCATGTCTCATGGTTTTAGGGAGGATCTCCTTTCAGTCACTTCCTGCCCATCCCCAACTCAAGCCTATCCAGCATTTTCACTGCTGTCCTCAACACACTGCTAGATTCCACCAAGTCACCCAATAATAGTGACAACTCTCTTTGCTATGCCTGGGTTGGTGTCTGTTAATAATAATGAAATGTAAAATTCAACTGATTTTCCCGGAAATTGTTGAAGGACTGGAGCTTTATGTTACTTTTGGAGATTTCTATAATAATTGCAGTAAAGGAAGACATACTTGATTTTTTCTGTTCCTCCAGAGTCTTGTGCATAGTCTTTCATGTATTCTCTACCTGGGCCAGAGAACGGCAGAAGGTAACGCAACAACCCTAGCTCTTAAAAAACTTTTTTTTTAAGCTAGGAAGAGTTTACATGCTCAGATAGTTAGCAGGTTTCAGGCTGTTCATAGACATGAGATATCTGAAACTCCATAGTAGCAAACTAAATTTAGCTTGTAGTCCAGTTATATTCATTCAGTGAGAAAATATTTCATCTTGAGGGTTTTATCGCTGTAATGTTCATCAAAAGCATAATGTACCTAGACTTTGAGAAGTTTTCAATTGTTCAGTTTCCACCCAGGAGTCATTTTTTCCATCTTTTTCCACTGGTTATCATAATAATTTTCTTCCTTCTTTCCTTTCCTTTCCTTCCCTTCCCTTCCCTTTCCTCTTTCTGTCTATCTTCCTTCCTTCCTTCCTTCCTTCTTTTCCTGTAGTTGACCTATGGCTCTTTTGCCCAGGAAGAATTTCAGAATAACAAATTATCTTCACTTTATTGCATGGTGCCAAATGAGGACTATCAGTACATGGGAGTTATACAACTTTTCCTCCATTTTGGATGGACATGGATTGGAGTCTTTGCATTTGCAACTACGGGAGAACGTTTTTTGCAGAAACTGCAGCCATTGCTTTCACAGAATGGGATCTGTTTAGCTTTCACACAAAACATTCCACAACATATCCACTTAGAAGATTTGTCAGAATTGTTCGATTCAGTCTCAATTATTTCTAATAAATTGATCGATCAGAAAACAAATGTTTTTCTTGTATACGGAGAATCATTCACAATAGTGTGGCTCAGAACTGTCATGTTTCTACGTGATCCAGAAAATAAAAACAGATCATTATTCAGAAAGGTTTGGATCCTGATGAACCCAATTGATTTCATACTGACGGGAATTCAAAAGAGTTGGGATCTCCAAATGTACCATGGGGCTCTTTCCTTTACTGTGCATTCAAGAGAAGTTAAAGGCTTCAAAGAATTTCTTCAAGTCATCAAACCTTCCACCCACAAAGATGGATTTCTTCAAGAGGTTTGGCAACAATTGTTTGACTGCGTGTTTTTAAAGGAAGACTTACCTTCATCTATCAGTGGAACCTGTACTGGGGAAGAGAATTTGGAGAATCTGCCTGCACCTCTGTTTGAGTTGAAGATGACTAGCCAAAGCTACAGCATCTACAATGCTGTTTATGCAGTGGCACATTCTTTGCATGAGGCAGTGAGATCAAGTCCCAAATGGACAAAAATTCAAAAGGTTGAATTTCCAAATCTGCAGCCTTGGCAGGTAATCTCCCATGCCATTCCTATCTTTTGTTTTAGCAAATAGTAATTCTCAATGTGATGTGACTTGTTTGCCCTGGTCTATAGCCAGATATCATTAGAGATCCTAAAGCAACTAGAATTTTATTGCAAGAGATTGTCCCTTGTTACGGAATAAAAGAGATTTAAAACTCATACTACCTTTGCAAATTTTGCTCTAGTCAAAGGGATGAATGTATCTATCATCATTCCATTAATCACCATTTCTTCTTTCCTGACTTATAAATTCATCAGTCCTGGTTCCAAGAATACAGTGGAGAGGCATCTGAAGGCAGTCTTTGTTTTTTGCCCAACAAATCTTTCTGAAATGGGAACATTTCATTTTTTATTAGTTTTTTGAAATTTAATCAAGGCAGGTTAGTTATCCTGGGAACATAAAGCTTATGACAGTTGTTGTATTGTAGAAGAGGTGTGTTATTTCCATGAAATGATGTTGGTTTTTAGATTTATGGTAAATTACAGGAAGAATTGCTGAGTTTGCTGTCTTTAAAGTACTCATGACGATTAATTAATAAAGTAAGTTCCATATTTCAGTTATTGATTGTTCTTGGTGTGTTGACATTTTCTTCTTCTGTATTTGTTTGGTTTCCTTGGAAGAAAGAGTAAAAGAAAGAGAAATTCTTTATGCATTGTTTCCTTTTTGACTTTATTTTTCTCCTCCAAGTAGCTCCACCAGTTACTTCAAGAGATTTCTTTTAACAACTCAGCTGGAGAAAGAGTCTTCTTTAAAGACAGAAGAGAAAGTCCAGGTGGCTTTGACATTATCAACATGATCACTTTCCCAAACAGATCGTTTCAAAGAGTTAAAATTGGAAAGTTACACCCCAATGCTCCAAAAGGGAAAGAAGTTATCATTGAGAACACAATCCTTTGGCACCCTGGTTTTAACCAGGTATGAATAGCAATTGGGCTGTTGGTTTATTATATTATTGAAAAGTAATAGCAATAGTGCTTAGACTTACAGTATATACCGCTTCATAGTGCTTTACAGTCCTCTCTAAACAGTTTACAGAATCAGCATATTGTCCCCAAAAATCTGGGCCCTCATTTTACTGACCTCAGAAGGATCGAAGGCTGAGTCAACTTTGAGCCAGTGAGGACTGAACTCCTGGCAATGACCTGAATTAGCATGCAATACTGCATTCTAACCATTGTGCCACTATGGCTCAATCATGTTCAGATACAAAAGAACAAATAACCCTAACCCTAACCCTCTGTAAAATGTTAACAATGTTAAAGGTCATTTATGTAACCCAATGTAAACAATTTCCATTGAATTCTTTCATATCAATGGCTATGTCTGTAGGTTCTTCCTGTTTCTTTGTGTAATGACCACTGTTCCCCTGGATCCTGGAAGAGAAGGGCTGAAGGCAGTCAGTTCTGTTGCTATGACTGTGTTCCATGCCTAGAAGGAAAGATTTCTAATGGAACTGGTAGGTTATCAATTTCATGCCAGGACTGACTCTACATCTGCCGAAAGGGCAGTTTCGCTTCTGACCCCCACCCATGCCAGAAAGTGTATGCCACCATTGTTAACCTGCCGTGTCCCCCCGACAGCCCCTGTGATCTCCTATCAGGTGCTGGCAGGCAGAAGCCCCATGGCCTAAAAGACCCATTCTGTCTCCTCCATGCTCAAGAAATGGGTGAGGGGAGGGGGAGATATTAACAGTGTCGCTGGTGGCCACCGGACATGGCTTTCCATTAGGGGGGCAGGATGATCCCAATGAAAGGGAAGCCTTGCAGGCTGTGAGATCAGGCCAATGAGTGGGGCATGGAGGCACTAGTGCCTAGGAAGGTGAGCAGCAGCCCCAGTGGCAAGAAGGGGCACTGAAAAGAGTGGAGTCTGTGTGTGTGCCTGATACAAACTCACCTGTCAGCTATACTCTCCATGCCTCAGATCAGCTGTAGCATGGCATGGAGAGCAAGGCTGATGTGGGCAAGGAAGGTGCACATACAGACTCCATTGTTTTCAGCAGTGCTTTGGTGCCTGGCCCAGCAAAGTGGAGCTGGGCGTGGTGAGGCGAGGCCCAGCAAAGCAGAGCTGGATGAGGAGAGGGCCATCAAAGCTGGGCATGGCAAGGTGTGACGGGCGAGGTGGAGAGAGGTGGGGTGAGGCTGGGAGAGGCAGATCAGGATGAGGGACATGAGCTGCAGCTGTTCCTGTGCACCTCCAGCCTCCAAGCGCTCACCATTTCTGGTGTCTACATTGGGAGGGTGCCAAGCTGGGTTGGGATGGGCCAGGGCTGGGGCAACTGGGGCTGGGGCAGCGGGGGCGTATCCCTTCCCATTTCTGTATCAGCTCCAGGGGCCAAATTTGGGCCCTTGGCAGGCCGTCCCCGACCTGCAGTCCTTGTGTTTCATATATCTGCTTTATAAGGACTTCAGGTGTGGGTACGTCAAGTGAGAATCTTATGATGTCTCAGATGTGAGTCATCAGAGATGGGCTCATGATGGGGAGATTACCTCAGGTCAGGGCCATTGGATGATGTCAATTATCAGGGGGTCAAGATCCATCACCATCCTCTCATTGATGACTCATACCTCAACCACTGCTAATTCACACTCTACAATGATCATGACCTGAAGTACCTTCCCCATCACAAGGCCCATCACAAGCCCCTCTCTCATGACTCATACCTGACCTATCATAAGACTCTCACTTGACACATCCCCACCTAAAGCTCTTGTAAATAGTAAAGCACTGAAATAGAAATCAACATTCTGAGTGCTATAAACTGATTAAGATCAGTTTAGCTGCAATGAGTGCAACATTTCTTTTCCACATGATCTGCCATTTTCCAAGTTTTAACTTCCATAAAAACCGAAAAATATGTAGAAGCAAAGGGAATTTCACTAGATCACAGATGTCTTATGAACGGATCAGTTATTTTATCATCCAAGGCACACAGGGTGGATATTTGTAGAACCAACTATAGTTCTCCACGGAGACAAGAAAAGTAACTTAAAGTCAAGATAAAATACAGGGATGGACGTGTCCTTTCAGAGCTGTATGCAATGAAATTCCATTTTAATGTATGCCAATTAGTGTACATTCAAAGTGACAATAAAGTTTCTATTCTATTCTGTTCTGTTCTGTTCTGTTCTACTCTAAATATCATTTTATCAGAAAGGTACATTATAGAAAAGAATAAGAACTGGCATCCACATAGGCTATAATTTTCAAAAACACAAAATGGATAGATGACAACTTCATTGACTTTTCCTTCCAGATATGGATGACTGTTTTGAATGTTCAGAAGATCATTATCCAAATAAAGAAAAGAAAGGATGTATCCTGAAACGGCTGATCTTTCTAACTTTTGAAGAAAACTTAGGAATTGGTTTAGCTTCAGCAACGCTTTGTTTCTTTCTCTTGACATCTTGGGTACTTGGAACTTTTATTAAACACAGGGACACTCCCATTGTCAGAGCCAACAACAGGTCTCTCACTTATACCCTCCTTGTCTCGCTTTTGTTCTGTTTTCTCTCCTCTTTTTTATTTCTCAGCCAACCTGGCAAAGTGACCTGCCTTCTCAGACAACCAACTTTTGGAATTACCTTCTCAGTGGCCATTTCTAGTGTACTGGCCAAAACCATAATGGTGGTTGTGGCTTTCATGGCCACTAAACCTGGATCTCAAATGAGGAAGTGGGTGGGGAAAAGATTGGCCTTTGCTGCTGTCCTTTCCTGTTCTCTTGTTCAAGTATGTATTTGTACTCTTTGGTTGTCAACATATCCCCCATTCCCTGAGTTAGAGATGCACTTAGAGCCCCAAGAAGTGATTTTACAGTGCAATGAGGGAGCAGCTACATTCTTCTATTGTGTCTTGGGCTACATGGGTTTCTTGGCCATTGCCAGCTTCATTGTGGCTTTCTTTGCCCGTAAATTACCTGACAGTTTCAATGAAGCCAAGTTCATCACCTTCAGCATGTTGGCCTTTTGCAGTGTTTGGATCTCCTTCTTTCCAGCCTATCTGAGTACAAAAGGCAAAGCCATGATAGCTGTGGAGGTCTTCTCCATTTTGTCTTCCAGCGCTGCATTACTGGGATGCATATTCTTGCCAAAGTGCTACATCATTGTTTTCCAGCCTGAGCTAAACCACAGGGAACAACTAATAAAGAGAATGTAGTACATCAGATTGTTTTACCTAACGTTTTTTCCTTTGAATACATCAAGCTAACAAGATTTTGACAATCTGTCTGTTTATATTTTTTAAGAGATTTGACACATTGACTTTAAGGATAAAGGGCAGCTGGCAGTTCATGGTTTTTATAGCTTCACTTCATAAATCACTGTATAAATATGGGGAAAAGCTAATGGATATTTGTATTTAGCTCAGTATCATAGGGGATCTGTTTTGGATTGATTGGTCATCTTTGACAGGTAAAAGGTAAAATGTTTTTGAGCATTTAATATACATTTAACTCTGTTTTTTTTTAAAAAAATCATGAGCCGTCTAGCCATTCACTCTCCATCCACCAAGGTATTTTTACTGTATCCTAGTGCAATTTAAGGATATTATATGAAATGTAATTTTCCTTCTGCCTCATCTCTTACTAGAAGTGTATGCTGGGTGATGTCCATATCAAGTTTGATTTCATTTGGTTTGATTTAGGTATGTCTTCCATTAGTCCTTTGGAGGAGACCTCTTTCTTTACGTAATATATGTTTAATAAAATACCACATCAGACTAAACAGCAGAAGACTATGAATTTTGCTTTAACCATGAAAGCCACCTGGGTGACTTTAGGACAGTCCCTCTCTCTCAGCACAACCCACTTCACAGGGCCATTGTTGTTTGGGGGAAAATAGGAAGAGGAATATCTGTTGGATATATTTGATGCTTTCAGTTATTGGTAAAAATAATAAAAACTGGATATAAATAAATAAATAAATAAATTTGCTTTGGGTCCTGTATTTTAATTCCATGATATCAATATTGGCGTTGGTTCACATTAGCATTCTCTGCCTGGAAATATGACTGAACTCATCCAAAAGGCTATCTGGTTTAATTGGCATTCTTTAATAGGTAGAAAAGTTTCCTCTTCTCTATTCAACTACTCTGTTTATTTTACGTGGAAAATGAACATGAATTTGAACTATTAGGCCTATTTTTATTGTCATTGTCCTTACTATATATTATTTTAATTGGCATTTTCTCATTATTAAACCATCAGACAGTTATTATCTCACCAATAGCAAAATAATTATTTCTTACAGGAATCTTAGTTGAGCCCACACTTGCTGAGCAAAAGCATTTTATAAAATTAAATTCCCCCTGCTAATGAGGATATGATTAAATATAGTTTAAAAAAAACAGATTAATATGCAGCAACCAGAATTGACAAACAAGATCCTGAAGTTTAAATTTTGCTTCTTAGGATCAACAATCAACAATAAAGAAAGCCGCACCCACAAAATATGCAGCAAACATATGGTGAGGTAGCCATGATGGTTTCAGAGAAGATATCCAGTGGTCCTCATGGGACACTATGCATGAAGATAAAGATTCATTGGTGGAACACACAACCTGCTGAAACAAAGCCATGGAAATTCTGACAGTCACGCTCAGTAACCACAATTTTTCTTTTCTGTGTGTATCAGTTAAATATTTCTTATTGTGGTTTCTGGTGCTCTAACTTAGAATATTTACATTGGCCTGTGTTCAGTTAAAAAAATAATTAAACTATTAGCCATTTATTCCTTCATGAAAAATATTTTTTTTCTTTTAATGACCCTGTAATCCCTTGCTTTGGGGTGGAATCAGGGTGACTGAATGGACCTGAGCATTTACTGGCCTGATGCCCTTCCGGATACCTACATGGAGTTCACAACAGATATTTTGTGCCCAAAGAGAAAAACATCTGCCACTACCTAGGATCAAATTCACAGCCTCCTAACTGAGAAGCAAAAACTCACCCTTTAGACCACCATGCTGCTCCATGAAAAATAAAACAATTATCTAGCGGAATCGTCATATTTTTTTTTTAGCTAGGCTCAAATATTAAAGACTTTGCATGAAGGCATTTCAATTCAAAACAATCAAGGTATCTGTTTAGTTGTTAATTAACTTTTGAACCACAGGGAGATTGGCACAAGGGATAATAATGATCCTGGCTCATTCATTGTGTCACGTTCCCTCCTGCCTTTCTTCCTTGCCAGAATATATATTTCGAATCTGGTGATAGTCAAGATACAAATTGGCACACACACGGCTCTTCAAACAGAAATTGATGGATTGTCCCATGAAGGGCATTTTCAGATAAAATCTTTCGATTAAACAGTGGATGAACCATTGGGGTGCATACATACTCTGGAAGACAAAAACATTTTCACCATCCCAAAAGCATGAAGATGTTATTCCTTTTGATGTTCCTGATGCACAAGGTAGTTACTCTGAGATGCCCTTCAAGTGAAGCTTTCCCTGTTCCACATGAGTGGTTCCAACCTGGAGATCTTGTCATTGGTGGGATGGTGTCTCACATTTTTTACCACTTTTATGAAATTGAATTTAAGGAACACCCTTCTCTAAAACCTTATGACTTACCTCTGTAAGAAGTTTTATTTTTCCCATGTATTTTCTTAGCTTAGCCAGGTCCCCCAAAATTTCTGATATTTGCTTTCTTTACATTCTATTAAAGACCTTCTCGTGAAATGCATGAAAGTTTGGTGCAAGAAGTCTATTGAAGGACACTTTACACCAAACTTTCATGAGAAAGCTGTAAAAGCTTTTGAAAATAAATGCAGGGTTTACACACACATACACACACACAAACACACACATACAAGCCTTTATCTTTCACATGTATTGTCTTATAGCAGAAGAAAGCATTTTCTTTACATTATATTAATGTCCTTAACATGATATGCATGAAAGTTAAGTACAAGAAGTCTATTGAAGGACTTCTTACACCAAAATAACATGAATTTCATGAGAAAGACTTTAATATAATGATTAATTTATTGTATAATTTAAATTTAATGAGCTTGAGGTAATTGAAAAAATGTTCTGTATGATCAGCGCTCACAAAACGTACATAGAGTAAATGAGTGATATTTGCTGAAGCTGTTCCTGTTATACTTTGTGCCCAAATTGTCAGAATTATATTTGTTAACTGAAAAAAGTCACTACTTTTATTTGCTGTATTATATGATCGTAGCAAATCATGAAAACACCAGGTAAAATGCAGAACTGAACTCTGAGGAAATTATTGAATATTTTAGAAAAGCTATTCTATTCCCACTTCCAAGAGAAATGGTTTGTTATCCATATAGAGAGGATGCCTCCCTTACAAAAATTGTGAAATTCTTTTTTCAATGGGGTATTTAATTTATTTGCAGTGTAATAACCAAATTCTACCAGCATGTCCTTGCCTTGGCCTTTGCTGTGAAGGAGATCAATGAGGACTTCCAGATCTTACCTAACGTCACTCTTGGGTTCCACATCTATGATAGTTACTACAACCCAAGCATGACCTATCGCTCCACTCTGGACCTCCTTTTCAAATCCCAGGAATTTCTTCCAAACTACAAATGTTATATCCAGAAGAATCTCATGGCCATCATTGGAGGATTAGATGCCCCTACTTCATCCTATATGGCACAAGTTATAAGTATCTTCAAAATTCCACAGGTAATTTTTGCAGAAGGTTGAAAGAGAAACTTTTCTTTCTTTTTTAATGAATATCAGAGATTATATTTTGGCCATGCCTTTCAATTAAATCCACTTTTTCTCCCTTCTGCAATTTTTCTCACAATCCAATAGGTTGGCTCAAAGTCATCAATCAAGAAAATTAAAATCTTTTATTTGAAAGATTAGAAAAGTAAAATTTAAACCACAAATTAACAGTACAAAATTAATCTTATTTGAGATGATTATCTGTTCTTCCGGTATGACCACTACATGTGGTTGAATTCTGGGGCTGTGTTGAGAGAAGGAGTGAAAAGGCTGGCTAGCATATGCTACACAATTAGTACATAAACTCTCTGAGCAGGAGACCATATACAATTTCAGATAAATGCTTTCCCAGTCTCTTTTTGAAAGCCTTCAGTGATGCAGCAGCCACAACTTCTGGAGGCAATCTGTTCCACTGGTTGATTGTTCTCACCATTAGGAAATTTCTCCTTATTTTTAGGTTGTTTGTCTCCTTGATTGGTTTCCATCCATTGTTTCTCCTCTTGCTTTTGGAAGCTTTGGAAAATAATTTACCCTTCATCTTTGTAGCAACCCATAAATATTGGACCACTGCTATCATGTCTCATGGTTTTAGGGAGGATCTCCTTTCAGTCATTTCCTGCTCATCCCCAACTCAAGGCTATCCAGCATTTTCACTGCTGCCCTCAACTCACGGCTAGATTCCACCAAGTCACGCAATAATAGTGACAATTCTCTTTGCTATGTCTGGGTTGGTGTCTGTTAAAATTAATTGAATGTAAAATTCAGCTGATTTGCCTGGAAATTGTTGAAGGACTGGAGCTTTATGTTACTTTTGGAGATTTCTATAATAATTGCAGTAAATGAAGACATACTTGATTTTTTCTGTTCCTCCAGAGTCTTGTGCATAGTCTTTCATGTATTCTCTACCTGGGCCAGAGAACGGCAGAAGGTAACACAACAACCCTAGCTCTTAAAAAGCTTTTTTCTTAAGCTAGGAAGAGTTTACATGCTCAGATACTTAGCAGGTTTCAGGCTGTTCATAGACATGAGCTATCTGAAACTCCATAGTAGCAAACTAAATTTAGCTTGTAGTCCAGTTACATTCATTCAGTGAGAAAATATTTCATCTTGGGGGTTTTATTGCTGTAATGTTCATCAAAAGCATAATGTATCTAGACTTTGACAACTTTTCAATTGTTCAGTTTCCACCCAGGAGTCATTTTTTCCATCTTTTTCCACTGGTTATCATAAATAATAATTTT